AACCTATGATGCCACAGCGCCAGCCCCTATGTATATTTAAGATTTATTTATTTATTCGAAAGAGTTACACAGAGAAAGGGAGAGACAGAAAGAGAACTCTCTTCCATGTGCTGTTTCATTCCTTAGATGGCCAAAATGGCCAGGGCTGGACCAGGCCAAAGCCAAGAGCCAGGAGCTTCTTCCAGGTCTAACACATGGTGGCAGGGTCCTAAGGACTTGGGCCATCTTCTGCTGCTTTTCCCAGGCCATTAACAGGGAGCCTGATGGGATGTGGAACAGCTGGGACAGGAAGCGGCACCCATATGGGACGGTGGCATTGTAGGCTGCGACTAAAGGCAAGACTTCACTCGCTGAGTCACAACACCAGCCTTTAAGCAGTGCTTTTAAAAACAACCATATCCATTATTCATTTGTTTACTTATCAGCTGTGGCATAAAGTTCATCAAAAGTTGAATGATTGTGAAAGACCAAGAACCAGATAATTTAATCAAGGCGGAGGAAAGGTAGAGGGGCCAGCTGTGGTACAGTGACAGCCCATATTGGTGCACTGATTTGTGTCACAGCTACTCCTCTTCCAATCCAACTCCCTGCTGAATGTGCCTGGGAAGGCAGCAGAGGATGGCCTAAGCAGCAAGGCTGGGCCTCTGCTACCCATGTGGGAGACCAGGATGGGATTCCTGGCTCCTGCCTTGGCCTGGCCCAGCCCTAGCTGCTGCGGCTGTTTGGGGAGTAAACCAGCAGAACGAAGATCTCTCTGTCTCTGCCTCTGTCTCAGTCTCACTCTCATTCTCAACTCTTGTTCTGTCTCTGTGCCTTTCAAATAAAAAAGTAAATCTTTTTTTAAAAAGTGGAGACAAAAAACACAAATATAAAACTTCAGGAGAGGATAATCACCATTGATATAGAGGGGGAAATTTTAATTATAAGATTGCATGGAATTTGTAAATAAATATGATATGTCAAAATCAATTTGAAAGCTAAGAAGAAAATCTAATTCATCAAAACTAACCTTAGTAAACAGAAAGCTTAGGCAAGAGCAATAGAGAAAGGAACTAATCCACAAGAAAGCATCAGTCCCAGAGCGTTTCACAGTGGGAGTTAGCCAAACCCTGAGAAACTATCCGGAAACAGGAGGTGTTTCAGAGCAGGCATTGATGACGTGAACGTTGCCTTGACACCTACACCTGATAGAGATAGCATACATACAGAGAAGAAATAGACCAGATCACTTAGGAGTACTGATGTAAAAATCCTAAAGAGTATTAGTGACCAGATGCTAACACTGCATTAAGAAAGAAGAACATCATGACCAAGCAGATTCAATGCCAGGAATGCAGGGATAACATTCACCACGTTAGTAGGTTTAAGAAGAAAAGTCATAATAGCATCCAAAAATGCTGAAAACGCCTCCGACAAAAATGTAACACCCCATTGCTAATAGAAACACTGAATTACAGGGATGGGAAGGTACTTCCCCAGCATAATGCATCTTAGTCCTAAAGCCAGCTTCTAACTGGGGGGAAACTAGAGGCATTCTCCCCGAAGTCAAGAAAGCGTGCTGTCTCCACCATGTGTATGTGTGCGTGCATGAGGCAGAGAGCTCCCAACTGCTGGTTCCTTCCCCAGATGGCTGCAACAGCCAGCACCAAACAAGGGAGCTGAGGACTCAATCCTGGTCTCCCATGTTGGGTGGCAGGAGCCCAGTCACTCGAGCCATCTGCAGCCCGCCATGTCCACATCAGTAGGAGCTGGAGTTCTGGATTGAGCCCAGACACGCTGATTTGGGATGCAGGCATGTTGACCACTAGGCCTAGTGATGGCACCCAGAGCAGACTAATGTAGACAACACCTAGAACACAAATAAACACGAATGTGGAGGGGTGAGTTTTTGGCACAGCAGTTAAAGGGCTGCTTGGGATACCCACATCCCATAGCAGAATCCCTGGTTCAAATCCCATCTCTACTTTTGAACCAGTTTTTTGCCAGTGTGTGTTCTGAGAGGCAGTAGATGATGGCTTAAGTGCCTGGGTCCTTGCCACATGTGTGGGAGACCCAAATGGAGTTCTGGGCTCCTGGCTTCAGCCTGGCCCAACCCCAGCTCTTGCAGGCATTCAGTGGATAAACCAGTGGATGGAAAATTCCCTCCCTTTCTCTTTCTTCTACCCATAATTCTGCCTTTCAAGTAGATGAAAAAAAATTAATTATAATAGCTGTATTTTACAAAGTGTCTGACTGAAACACAGTGGTACTGGGGCCACAGAGTGATAGAATGGGACAAAATATCTAAAAATAGGTCCAAACATTTATGGGACATTATGAGAAAAGTGATGTCTCCAATCGCTAGGGCCAAGATGGGCTTTTTACTAAATTGCATTGGAGTAACTGTAACCATTTGGAGAAAACATAAAATGATTCCCTCATGCCATAAATAAAACTAAACTGCAAATGAACAAGAGTCTCAAATAAACTATGACACTTCATATGCGCTAGAAGAACACACCAATGAATTCCTCCTCACAGTATGGATGTGGGAGAAAGATTTCTCAGACTCAGGGTCCGCATAAAAGAAAATACTGATACATGTGGCGCATGCGCTTCTGCGCATGAGCAGTTAAGTGGCACATTGAGAAGTGGTGTGTCAAGCTGTGGCAGCCAAAGAAGGGAGAATCCCTGTGACTGCAGGGTTTACAGGAATTGGACCATTTCATAGCAGGCTTGGGAATGTGGTTGCTGTTGGTGTCAACAGCACCTCTATCAGAAATTTTTCTCCAACAAAACAAAGGAGTTCATACTTCAGGTGACTACTGACAGATAAAAGTGGAAATTAATCGTGCTTTTAGCGGCTTAGTTTGGGCAGAGTCCATCATTCTCCTAAAAAATATTTATTATATTAAACATATTTATTTCTATAAGGTCAAAATGTAGGGAAATAAACAAACCTTACTGTTACAAGATTAAGAATTTAAGCTACAGCATAAAAATTTTTTAAACTTTCAAAAATCTATTTTTACTTAAAAAATTTTTAGCTCATAAGTAATAACCCACATGTTGAGTACATTTTTTTCCATAGAAATGATATAAATTATGGCTAGAGTTTCTGGGAAGCCTCAGAAAAATACCACTAAACATTGCTTCTTTAAAAAAAATTATCTGAGAAGCGGAGAGACAGATTGAGCTCCCACCCACTGATCACACACACACACACACACACACATACCCCACAACAGCGGCTGATGCCAGGAGCCAGGTCTCCTATTACTTGAGCCATCACCACGGCCTCCCAGGGTTTGCATCAACAGGAAGCTGGAGCCAGGAGCCAGAGGTGGGAATTGAACCCAGGCACTCTGGGACACAGACGCTTTGACCACTAGCCCAGGAGGTTGCTCCTAAACATCACTTCTTTCGGAAAAACACATTGTGATTCTAATAACTACAAAATAATGAGCAGCAAAAAACAAACAAACAAAAACCCCAGATTTTAAACCTCCTCTGTCCCGTGCAGCGTATAAAATGGGTTGTTTTTCTCTTCTTAGGAGGGGCCGCAGGAGCAGGAAGGATTTCCAAGCCTTTGTTAACTGGAGGAGCCATCTGGTGACCCTGGGGGGACACTGCGGCTCTGCCTCTGATGAGGGCTCTGTAATGACCACGAGCCAGCCCTTGCCTTCTAGGCTCTTTGTGTTTGTCATGGTTTTGCCTCAAGAGGCTCCTGAGGTCGGTGACCAGGCTGGTTAGGAACTCTTAGCCTCCTCTTGTGAAGAGCTTGCAGGAATGATAGGAGTGGTTCTCGACGGGCAGGGGCAGAGCCAGAGCGTGGGCTGTCTGACCTCTCTTCCCTGGCCAGCGGGGGCGGGGGCGGGGGCGGTGAGGGTAATCACTTGCAGATCCTGAGTAGAGATGTACATCAAGTCCTAGGACAGGTCACAGCATAAACTCCGTCTCGGAGAACAGCTCACTTTGTGGAACGAGCGATTTGGATTTTGGATTTTGTAGTGCTCCTTGTGCGAAGCTACCTCCAAAAGCGCGTTGAGGAATGGAATTGAAACAGATGTATTTCGGTGAACCAGAATTTCAAAGTTCATGCATAGGTTTTCCATAAAATGCATTTTCCTGTGAATTTTTTGAAGACCACTTGTATGCATGGGTTTCGAAGTTTTTTGTGCCCAAATTAACTTTCAATTCCATTTTCCATGAACTTTGTGAAGCGCCCTCTTATTTACCTGCCTCATTTCATTACCTGAGCTTCTTTTTGTTTTCAGGTGAGTTCACTTGTCAATTTAAAACACATGTGGTGAATAATTCATGTCATTCAAAAAATATAAACTTTTTTAAAAAAAGATTTATTATTTATTATTTATTTGAAAGGCAGAGTTACAGAGAGAGAAGGGGAGACAGAGAGAGAGAGGTCTTCCATCTGCTGGTTCATTTCCCAGATGGCCACCAACAGCCAGGGCTGGGCCAGGCTGAAGCCAGGCGCCAGGAGTTTCATCCAGGTCGCCCACGTGGGTGCAGGGGCCCAAGCTCCTAGGCCATTAGCAGGGAACTGGATCAGCAGTGTAGCAGCCGGGACACAAACCAGCACTGGCACCACAGGTGGCAGCCTTACCCACTATACCACAGCACCGGCCCCAAGATATTAACTCTTACATGTAAAATGCTCTCAGCAGGGTTAGAAAATGGAATTTTCAGTAGTATTGTGTATTCTTCATTTGGCTTTTAATGAATGGAGAAAGAAAAAAAAAATAGGGCGCCTTAACGTCTTTAACTGCAGTGGGTGTGTTTTGCTGACGGTCCTCGGGCAGGCCCAGGCCATCGGGGAGGCAGAAGGGACTGCTCTCCAGGATAGGCGGTGTTTTTATCCCAGCAGTGCTGTTGGGTGGGCAGCCGGCGGGGGTCCGGGGACTTTGTTGTCACTTAGGAGATGATGACTGCATGGCCGTGCAGTTACAGATTTCCACCCTTCTCACTTTGGTCTTTCTCGTGTTTTCTTTCCCTCTTCACAGTTCTTCCTCCGGTGCTGGTTCCAAGACACAGCGAATATAATCCTCAGCACAGCCTCTTAGCTCAGTTCCGCAACCTGGGACAGAACGAGCCTCACATGCCACTCAACGCCACTTTCCCAGACTCGTTCCAGCAGCCCGGCAGCCACCCGTTTCCTCACTCTCCCAACAGCAGCTACCCCAACTCGCCCGGCGGCAGCAGCAGCACCTACCCTCACTCCCCCAGCAGCTCAGACCCAGGAAGCCCCTTCCAGATGCCAGGTGAGTTGGCAGGTCAGGGGCGATCTGACGGTGTCGCCGCATGCTCACGGGGATGCTGGCCCAGCCTGGAACGCAGGGAGCTCCACAGTGCCAGTGCACGGCGCTGTGCTCCGAGGCTCTGGGCCGCGGCTTGCAGGCCAAGGCCTTGTGGCCAAGGCAGCCCACGTGCCGGCTTGTTTGTCAGGCCCAGAAGCTTGAACAGGCTGTAGTCGCCCCTCGTTTTTAAGTTTGGAAACAGCTGCGTCCTTCTGGGAGTGGCATAATTGGTGCAGTCTCTACTCTTGATGAAACACAGAGAAAGGGTGTGTTACACACATGTGCTCTTAGGAGAAGCGCGACCTCGGTTCACATCGTTTCTCACGTGGAAAAACGCCTGTTTTTCAGTACAGTCTCAGAAAAGATGTTTCCTGAGGGGTCACACACCCCCGCTTAATTAAATTCATTTAGACAGTGATGTAACCTCAAGAAACGTATGCTTCAGCAACAAAAGAATTGCAACAGAAGTGCTGGAAGCCATCTGCTTGGTGAATTCAGCATAGACGAGAAGCAGTTATCCTCTTGTTTTTTTGAAGGTATAGCTGATGGTGTAATGATGGTCAGAATACGTTATCAACTAGGATATTATGTGTTTCCAAGGTTAATACACAAGCATCTCAGGAAGAAAAGCATTAGTATAGATTCCTTGCCAATGGACCTGCAGACCAGCACTCTGAACAGAGGTATCCTTGACACCTGTTAGCGTGGGAACTGGGCAGGCGTGTTCACTGGGCCCCAGGAAAGGCTCTGACGTGAACTGGAACTCACATCGGTGTTGGGCACTGCACTTGCAAAGCCGTCCGCGCTTTATCTTGCTCTCTCTCTCCGGTGTGCAGCTCTCACTCCTGTTTATTGTGAGGGTCCTTCTGCCGCACCGTTTCCTGTGTTTCTCAGTCCAGTGCTGTTTGGAAGGAGACAGGGAGACAGATTAGCGCCAGAAATCAAACTGGTATCGTCCTGTGCTTGCCTGCCCCCCGCAGCCCCTCCCAGCCAGGTGAGGGCATCCATCTGGGAGGACAGCGAGCACGGGCAGCCCGCCGCAGGCCCCAGAATGCAGCTCGGCTTTCCATGTTTGTCCCCAGCTGCACAGGTGAAGCAGATAGGAAATGTGGAAACCAGAGTGGTGAGGGGCGCGAGGAGGAACGTGTGAGAAGAGCCGACGGCCAGCGGTCATCACGTGGTCACTCTTGGCGGTGCCCATGCCACAGGTTGGCAGTGACATGGTCACCAGCGTTGGCAGAAGGTCGCCGGATCCAGGCTCAGAGGAGTCTCTCCGTCTGAGGAGAGGCCCAGTCAGCCTTACGGCTGCAGGAGGAAGGGGAATTGAAAGCAGCTGGAGGATGGGCGTGACGGGCACCCCGATCAGGCTCCTGTGGTCCTGTCTCAGCGCTGCGAGTCATCGCCTGTCCATGGCTGGACGGCGGGGAGCGTCGTGGAGCAGTCAGGGAGAACCCTGAGGAACTGCCGCGGGGTGGCGGCGGTGGCGGGCGCCCACAGCTGCGCTGGGCACTCTGGAGGACCTGCCCGTGCTGGCGCTCTGGAGCCCCTGCAGGCTCTGTCCTGTGTGCTAGAGGGACTCCCGGCAGTCTGGAGGAGCTTGTCTTTGGATCGCAAAGAATTGTGGGAAGTCTGTACCCTGTGTTTTGCATTAGGAAAGCACAAGGCACGTGATTGTGCCCGCTGTTCCAGAAGCCACACCGTTTGCCCTCATGTGCCAGCTTCAGAAGAGGCATTCGGGAATTCTCAGTCGGAGATCGCTGTGATAAACAGCATGGTTTCAGTGCTCTTGTGATCGTTTGTAAAACGGCATGAAACTGGCTAGGCAGAAGTCTTCTAGAACTGGCATGGAGACTCCCCCCATCCCCGCACTGAACCTTTGCTGAAATGGGTAATAATTTTCAGCAGTTGCACATCAAGTCCAGCGTCTGTAGCATCTGCTTGTCTGTGATGTGGAGGTTGAAATGGTGACCTGACCTAAAGATTTCAGCACAGAGGAGAGTATGTTTTACGCAGGTGTGGGCTTAAAATTGTAGATGTGAAATAGATGAAATCTGTTCTCTCTGCATACATAAATAAATAACTCTTTTGAATAAGACATAATTCTTTGGAAACTTTGCAGCCGAAACACCCCCACCTGCTTACCTGCCTCCCGAAGATGCCATGACCCAGGATGGTTCCCAACCAATGGACACAAATATGATGGCACCTTCACTGCCCTCGGATATCAACAGAGGAGGTAAAACGCAGCAGTCTACATCCTGTGTTAGAGTCTAATGCTTATCTGTCCAAGTGTTACTTTCACAGAATTTTTATTGGTCTTTAAGAAGGCTGCTATTTGAGAAAGAGCACAGTGATAAGAGAAACACCATAGAAAGAATCCTTTGTATAACAAATTAGTCTTTTATTTAATGAACAAACACACTGATCCAACTAAGGAAGGTCTGGGTTTAATTGTGCTCCAGTTAGATCTCAGTACTTAGTCATCCTGAATTGGTGATGAAATGAATATTTTTAAATGGACAAAAGGAAGTTGAGAAGCTGTGAACACAGCCTGAAGTCGAGTTTTCACAGGTGATTTCCAGAATTGGAAGTTCATGTAACTGGGCTCTCCAAAAGGATTCTTGTGTAGTTAGACTAAACATTCGTAAGCCCTACCTGTGTGCTAGTCCTCGCCTATGTGTCGCTGCAGCAGGGACAAACTAAGCGCGTTTCTTTCTTTCTTCGCCGCTGTGTTTATTTCTGACTGTTACCATAAGCCGTAGGCCCCTCTTCCTCCTTTTACCCTGAAGAGTTTACAAGCAGAACTGAACATTTCCTGCGCTCTCCAGTAAAGGCTGGGTCTTCCTCTGCAGCTCTGTATCGCGCGCGCTCGGCCGTCCCCAAGCAAGGGGGAGCCAGCCATCATTCTTCCAGGTGTGCAGTGGAGAAGGCTGAAGGAGGAGAGAGCCCCGGCAGATAAGTGAGGAGGCATCTCTGAGCGTCTGCAAGAAGCCGTGACCACGCTGGCGAACAAGACTGTCCCCGAGTAACCTTGCAGGGAGAAAAGTGCTTTCTTTGCTGGTACACTCAGCACATGGCATGAATCACTCAATTTGTAGAAAGCTTATGCAAATAGAAGGTAAATTGCACCCTAATTACTAGCTACAGAGATGCTTCACACAATTTGTGGAAAATGGAATTAAAAGTTACGGAGTTTTTTTTGTGGGGGGGGGGGTGCAAGAAAATTTTGAAATCCATCCATAGTTTTTTTTATAATATACATTTCCATGGACTTTTTGAAGATCCTGCATATGTGTGAATTCAAAAATTTTTGCAACAAAATAAACTTCTGATTGTTTTTGTATGGACTTCCTGAAGCCCCCTCATGTGTATTACTTCATTCTTAGCACTTTTTTTGTTAAAATAAGAGGTACCTGAGCGTTTGTCAGAGTTGGTTACATTATTGAAGCCCTTGGTATTTGATGAGGTCTGTAGATACTCTAGTGGTGGCTGTGTGTCATTGTGCATTTGTCCAATGTGGAGAGCCTCGTTGGGCCCTCGTGTCCAGCTGTGCACTTGGGGTGACAATGATGTACCAACATGGGCTCATTGATTGTAACAGGTATACCACTCCGATGGCAAATTCACTTGTGGGAGACAAGGAGATATGGAAAGTCTCCGTACCTCATGCTCAGTTTTGCTATGAACATAAAACTGCTGTAAAAAATGTTATTTTAAAAAAATGATGATGAATTGGAAGAACATTTCTTAGATGCACAGTATAATACATTAGATTGTATACCTATTTAATCAGTAAATTTTTTTTTTACTGGCTCCATATTTAATGGTTCCTGATCATCTGTAGAATATCCTCTCAGATATGGAATTATGAGCCAACAAAGATTCTTTTTTAAATTAACTTTTTTTTATTTTAGAGGCAGACAGAGCTAGTTGACCATGCCCTGATTCACTCCCCATATGACCACAGTGGCTCTGAGCCGGGCCAGAACCAGGAATTCAATCCAGGTCTCCACAGTGGGTGGCAGGGCCCCAGGTTCTGGAGCCATTACCTGCTGCCTCCCAGGGTGCACATTAGCAGGAAGCTGGAATTGGAAGTGGAGCTGGACCTCCAAGCCAGGCGGTCCAGTATGGGATGTGGGTTTCCTAAGTAGTGTCCCAACTGCTGTGCCAAATTCTCTCCCCCTGAATAAAGATCTTAGGGAAGATAGCTCCTATTTTTCACATCTTTGGAATTTGTGTTTGAGGAGCAGGATAGCAGAAAGAGAATAGACATAGTACTAGCACACTTTTAAGAACGTGTTGAGCTTAAAATATCTGGTTTAAGAAAATAGACCTTTAAGATTCTTTTCTTCAAATAGCTTAGCATTTTTCACCACTAGAGTAAGTTTACAGTTGGTTAATATTTTCACGAGGAGGGAATGTTGAGCTGTGTTCTTTCTCTTTTGTTCTTGTGGCGTTCCTACAGCATGAGAGCATGGGCAAAGTACTGCCCACAGTCCAACTCACTATGCTGCTTGCTTTTGTAAATAAAGTTTTATTGGGACCCAGCTATGTTCACTCATGATGTATTATCTACAGCTGCTTTTGTGCAGAGTTGAGTAGTTTTGACAAAGACCATATGGCCTGCAAAGCCTTTCTGGGCTTTGGTAGAAAAAGTTGTCAACCTCTGACCTGGATGAATAGTATTTTGAATAATCCCGATAAATGATGAAAGTTTTCTATTACTGATGTTGCCACCTTCTGTAAGATTTGGTGCTTATGAGTTAGTTACTAAAATTTCCTCTTCAGAATAGTGCAAAATCGTGGATGGTTGCTTGGTAAATAGGGAAAATAGTGCATGTTTTCAGCGAGCCTACTTAAGTGTTAAAGCAGCTAACATATGTGAGTTTCTTAATGAGCATTTTCCTTGTTTTCTTTTACAAATTCTAATGTGAAGTGTGTTTTAGTATTGGTGGAGGCTGATATTAGGAACATCAAGGTACTTCTTCCCCAGCAGTTACAGTCCACGCTTCCGATGTGGATTTTCTTTCATAGTTTCTTTTCTTTTCTTTCATTTTTAACGGTTGCACACTCAGGACTTCCTAAACCTCAGATCATTATATATTGGCCTGCTGGAGATACATGCCTTGTATTTCTGGAATCTCTAAAGCGGCAGTGCAAGAGGTTTTACTACAGAAGGAACTTATCTTTAAAACCTTTTAGCTGCAAATGTTTAGAAGCATGTTCTGTTTGGAGATTTGTTAGTCTTAAGAGATCTGACTTAACAAGCTGCATCCTGTCAGTAAAATTGGGTGATTTCCATTGTTGGCCCATTCTGGGAATGGAGAGACAAAACACACCTGCTCTGCTTGACTTACAGCAAATGTAAGGAAGTTAGCATGAAATCTGGATGAGAGAGAGATGATTCACTCGGTAAGAATGGCCAGCTGGCAAGATCGCTTGCTGAGTTTGAGAACTGGAGCAAAACTGGAGCTGTGGTCACTATTGGCTACTGAGTATGAAGTAAAGTAGCTTCTTCTTAATAATTACAAGCTGATCTTCATTGCTTTGAAAAGGCATAGGTATACTTAAGGCTTTGCCAAAAGTAATTCCTTTTCGTGCCAGCACCTTTGGCCTATTTCCTGTCTCCTGTTGTCCTGCTCTGACAAGTTTTGTTCCTTGTCACTTCTGCATTGACGGTGGTAAGCTGGGGTCTGTACTGGGGGTGCTTCCCATTTCTGCGTATTAAGGTGCAAATAGCTTATTGTTAGGATTCAGCAAATGCTGTTGCTCTGCTTGTGTACCTTGCATTTTGGTTGTCTGATCCTAACTGGAGGACGTTGCTTTCCAGTTAAACAAGGAGGCCACACTTACAATAAGAGGTACCTGCTTTACACATCATAGAAAAACTGCATAAGTTATAATAGCAATTGCTTTTCCATGTCTTCATTCCGTGATCCTGAGCCAGTTTTACAAGAGTTTCAGTTCTGAGAGCCTGAGGTGCAAACCTTGGTTGATATAACCATTTCTTTCTTGCAGATGTTCATGTAGTTGCTTATGAGGAACCAAAACACTGGTGCTCTATTGTCTACTATGAGCTCAACAACCGTGTGGGTGAGGCATTCCATGCCTCCTCCACGAGTGTGTTGGTGGATGGTTTCACTGATCCTTCCAACAATAAGAACCGTTTCTGCCTTGGGCTGCTCTCCAATGTTAACCGGAATTCCACTATTGAAAACACCAGGCGGCATATTGGAAAAGGTGAGTTTTCACTTCAACCTCTTCCAAATGTGTTTCCTATGTGGCCTGTTCCCCCAGAGCCCACGTGGTCATTACTGTTGCAAACTAATGTAGCAGACACCAGGTAATGTTCACTTGCTACATTTTGTAAATAGTTTTTAAATCGGTATTATCTGAAAGCTCTTCCAGGCAATGTGATTTTTCTGTTGTGCCAACTCAAATAGTATCGATTTGTTAGCTGAAATAGTAACTTGCCACTCTGGGGCACTATTGTATCTTTTTTTTTAAGATTTTATTGATTTATATGAGAGGTAGAGTTACAGACATTGAGAGGGAGAGACAGAAAGGTCTTCCATCCGCTGGTTTACTCCCCAGATGGCCACAGTGGCCAGAGCTGAGCTGATCAGGAGCCAGAGCCCCTCCTGAATCTCCCACACGGGTGCAGGGGCCCAAGTACCCAGGCCATCTTGTACCACTTTCCAAGGTCATCAGCAGGGAGTTGGATCGGAAGTGGAGCAGCCGGGATTAGAACCGGCACCCGTATGAGATGCCAGTGCTGCAGGCGGAGGATTAACCTACTATACCACAGCACTGGCCTTATACTATTGTATGTTACGGTTTGCTGTGGAATAAAGTGGCTGTTAAAAAATTACCTTCTGGGGCACACATTTGTGGCACAGTGGGTTATGTCACCACTTTGGAGGTCCACATCCCCTATTGGGGTGCCTGGGTCAAATACCAGCTGCTGTGCACTTCCAGTCTGCCTTCTTGCTGATGTGCCTGGGAGGCAGTGGATGATGGCCTAAGTGGATTTCTGCCACTCTCCTGGGAGACCTGGATGCAGTTCTAGGCTCCTAGCTTCTGCCTGGCCCAGTTCTGGCTGTTGCAGGCATTTGGAGAGTGAACCAACAGATATCTCTCTGTCTCTGTCTCTTTCTGTCACTCTGTCTTTTATTATTTATTTATTTAACAGGTAGAGTTATAGTCAGTGAGAGAGAGAGAGACAGAGAGAAAGGTCTTCCTTCCATTGGTTCACTCGCCAAATGGCTACTACGGCCGGAGCTGCGCCGATCCGAAGCCAGGAGCCAGGTGCTTCCTCCTGGTCTCCCATGCAGATGCAGGGCCCAAGCGCTTGGGCCATCCTTCACTGCCCTCCCAGGCCACAGCAGAGAGCTGGACTGGAAGAGGAGCAACCAGGACTAGAACCTGGCGCCCATATGGGATGCCGGGGCCGCAGGCGGAGGATTAACCAAGTGAGCCACGGCGCCGGCTCCTATCACTCTGTCTTTCAAAAACCAATATTTAAAATGACTTACAACCTAAAATTAAAAACAAATTGGAACAAATAAACCTAGTTGTATTTCAAATGAATACCACAATTCAGTGAAAACTTGTAGCTTGTTTTTTAACAGATTTATTTATTTTGTTTATTTGAAAGGCAGATCAAGAGAGAGAGGGAGAGAGAGTGAGATAGATCCACCTTCTACTGGTTCACTTCCCCACATGGCCACAACAGCCAGGGCTGAGCCAGGGCAAAGTCAGCAGCCAGGAAGTACATCTGGGTCTCCCACGTGGGTGGCAAGGGCCCCATTACTTAGGCTGTCTGTGTTCTGCTGCCCAGGCACATTAGCAGGGAACTGAATCAAGCGGAACAGCCCAGCACTCAAATCAGCACTCCGATATGGGATGCTGGCATCACAGGCAGCACTCAACCCGCTGAGTCACAGCACTGGCCCCACTGACGACTTATTCATGCAGTGTTTGATGTCATGAGCACATGCTCAGTGTGGGTGGGGTGGGATAGTGTCATGGGGAGGAATTCACGTAACTTGTGAACTCTTCGGCAGCCTTGATTATTTTGCAGTGGTGTGAATGAAACAGTTCTGTGTCTTTCAGATGTGTTTTAAGGTTAAGCAAATAAAGGTGTGGATGTGGTTGGGAGCCTGATTTTTTCTCTGGAGTAAGGGACATAACAAAATGTGGAGGAGAGCAACAAGACAAACCCTGTGGAGGCAGACGGGGAGGTATCAGTGTGAAGCCATGATTTGGATACTGCACACATGTGTGTTTGTATGTATAGTGTGTGTCTGCATGCACATGCAGTTTCTGATCTGTCTACTGAAAGGGCTGGAAAACAAAGGCAGCCCTTAGCAATAAGCACGTGCAATGTTCAAATAATCGCTCCTAATACCATCCCCCGCTAAGGATACCCAAGGCTCCTTGGAGAAATGGCCGATTCCAAGGCTAGGACACGTAGGCAGAAGAGGAGCTTGAAACATTTCATCATGGTGGAAAGTAAAGAAATGCTAATGAAAATGATGGGGATGTCACAGGAACCAACTGAAAGAGCTTCCACTGGCCAATTATAGGACAATTTGAGCTCCAAAATAATTATGGTAGTGAGTTTTAAGCCATGAAAAAAACTGCTAATCCAAAGCAATAATAGGTAAATGAAAGAATAGGGAAGGCTGATTGGCAAATGTAGAATGAGTGCTAGAATTGGAAAATCATCATTTTGCAGCCATCATAATAGCAAGAGTCATCAATGTGTGCTGAAAGTAAAGAGAATTTTTTATGAGAGTCAGGATATTTGCATGTTTTGAAAGATCCTCACGTGGGAGCCAGAGTGATGGAGCATCCGGTTAAGCCACGATTTGTGACTCTGGCATCTGTATCAGAGCATAGGTTCCAGTCCCAGCTGCCCTGCTTCCGATCCAGCTCCCTGCTGATGCTCCTGGGAAAGCAGCAGAAGATGGTCCAAGTGCTTGGGCCCCTGCACCCACATGGGAGACCCAGACAGAGTTCCTGGCTCCTGGCTTCTGGCTTTGGCCTGGCCCAGCCTGTTTTGTTGCAGCCATTTGGGTAAAGAACCAGCAAAGGGAAGATTTCTTTGTCTCTCCATCTCTGTCACTCTGCCTTTCAAATAAATAAAATAGAAATCCGTAAATTGTCTGCTGAAAACTGCCTGTTAGTTACCAGAGGGAAAACAGCAGCAGTTACACAGTAGAGAAATTGTATAATTTATATTATCATTGTAATTAGATATTTGACCACCCATCTTGACTAGGGTATCAGAATTATCACTGGAGGCAGGCATTTGGCTTAGCAATTAAGCTCCTGATTAAAATGTCTGCATCCTATATTGGAGTGCCTGGGCTTATATCTGCCTTGAGCTCCAGACTCCAGCTTCCTGCTGACGTGGACCCTTGGAGGCTGCAGTGATGGCTCAAGTAGTTGGGTCTTTACCACCCACACGGGAGGCCTGGTCTGAGTTGCTGACTCCTTAGCTAGGGTTGTGGGCATTTGGGGAGTGAACCAGCAGATATGAGCTTGCTCTTTGTGTTTTTATCAGTCTGCCTCGCACAAAGAATTATACCCGTATAGTCACAATAAAGACAAATGGATATCCTATACCTCCAGATATGGTACCAGAGAAGACCGTAACATGACCCGTGCAGAATTCTTGCTGGAAATGCGGATTTGAGCCTATTCCTGAGGAAATATCAGACAAACCCAAAACATTAAACATCCTGCTAAACAGGGTGAAGGAGAACTGTGTGTTCCAGATGAAAAGCTTTAGAAATATTGCCACATGCATTACCTAACCCTTCACATATCCCAGTAGTGAATAGGGAAAAAATACTATAAAGGACATTATTGAAAGGTAAATTAGATAAGTATTACATCAGTGTTAAATGTGCTGGTGTTGCTCACTGCTATGGAAGAAGCTATCCCTATTCTTAAGAAATACGCCTGGGGCCAGCACTGTGGTGTAGCAGGTAAAGCTGCCGCCTGCAGTGCCAGCATCCCATATGGGTGCTGGTTCATGTCCCAGCTGCTCCACTTCTGATCCAGCTCTCTGCTATGGCCTGGGAAAGCAGTAGAAGACAGCCCAAGTCCTTAGGCCCCTGAACCCACGTGGGAGACCCAGAATCTTCTGGCCCCTGGCTTCAGACCGGCCCAGTGCTGGCTGTTGTGGCCATTGGGGGAGTGGATGGAAGACCTTTCTCTGCATCTCTCCCTCTCCCTATCTGTAGCTCTACCTCTCAAATAAATAAAATCTTAAAAAAAAAAAAAAACTATAAATAACAATACACCTAAGTAGTTAGGAGGTAAAGGGTGATGACAAAACATTTAAAAGAAAAAGATGTCTATCTGTTCACCATCTGACTCTGTGTAAAACAACCCTGTGTCCAAATGTGCATGTGCACGTGTGAGTGTGTGTGTGTGTGTGTGTGTGTGTGGTGTGTACAGCAGGGAGGAAGGGAACACATGACCAAGAAGACGGAGTAAGTTGTCTCCATAGATGACTCTGGAGAATGGTTATATGGGTGCTTTGTTCTCTTTTTCTTTCTTGTTTGTTCTATTTCAAATTTTTTATAAGCTTGAAATTATTTCCAGAGTTAAAGATTCTTTTTTAAAAAAATCGACCTGCTGTGAAATTTAGAAAAGTGGACTATATTAAAAAGGTTATTGAATAGATGCTCAAAAGGCGTTTGAGAGATCCTGGCAGGGGGAACCCCAATAGTTCTTAAACCAGGATTAGTAGCCATTTCCTGACTGTGACGAAAGGGGGTAAGGACTTAGACTTGGAACATACATAGCTATCTTGCTAGAATCTCTCAAATTGCACTTAAACACAATTTTTCATACATTTGGGATGGAAGGACTTATTCTTCCCTAAACTCTGAACCTGTTATCCCAAAGTAGTAAAAAGCTGTTGTGCTAAGGTACATTGCTCTTTAAAAAATTGGGATGAAAATAAGGATTCTGGGAATGCTATTATTTAAAATTGTTCCAGATGCCCTGAGTGGTGTACTCAAATGTCGAGTTATAGATCTTGGAAACAAGCCAAGATTATCATTATTTGCAGATGATAGGATTGATTGATTATATTCCTGGGTCTGTTCTGGAAGTAGAGTTAGTAGGCCGAAAGCTGTTGATGTCATTTGCCAGATTGCTTTCCAGAAAGCTTGTAGTACTGTGTACTCCTACTGAGGTAAGCGCGTGCCTCCCCCGCTTCGTGCACGCCAGGTGTGTGGATGGGCCTTGTGTCTGTTCAGGGGATGTGGCTGCTTACGTGGCAATCTCCAAAGAATCTATTTTTTAAAAAATTACATAAGTCTGTTTCCTTTAAATGGAGGGAAAATTGCATTCCCAATAGGAGCAGAAACACACAATTTTGGAAATCATCTAAACTTTCAATTTGTGAGTATACAAAGAAAATAAAATTCTACTGAGAGAAAGAAAATTTGCCAGAGTACATAGGCAGTCTGTGCTCCTGAAAGGGAATACTCAGTACTGGGAAAGCATCTTAAGGCTATTAGTTCTTCCTGATTTAATTTGTAGTTTAAAACAGTTCTGTCAGAATCACAATGTGGTCCTTTTTTGAAAGCTGAAATATTACCTGGATGGATAAACAAGTGAGAAAAATGAGAATAGCTCCGTTATTTCATAGAAGAGCAAAGAAAAAACTCCTGATATTAGAGTTACTAAAACATTTTTAAAAATACAGTTAAATCAGTGTATAAGCAAACCAGGAGAATAAATTCAACTCGGACTGTGTATAACAATTTAATGTATGTTAAGTGAAGTGTATGAATCAGTAAGGTCTTCTAATGGCCCTGCAGTAACAAAGTGGACTTTTGAGTGGGTCCAAGAGGAGCAACCCTGACCTCATGCCATAAATACATTAATGAGCTGAATATTTTTAAAAGATTATTAAAAAGCTGGAAGGAAATGTATTTTATAGGAGAGGTGGAGATTTCCTGAGCACTAAGGCAGCCTGAAGCAGGCATTTGGCCCAGTGGTTCAGAAGCCCCCATCCCGGGTTAGAGTGCCTGGGTTCAGTATCTGCCCCAGCTCCCCACTCCAGGTTCCTGGGCATCCTGCTGAGAGGCATCAGTAATGGCTCAGGTCATCAGGCTCCAGGCGCTCACACAGGAAACCTTGACTGAATTTTTGGCTCTCAGCTTCATCCAGGCCATTGGCCACTGTAAGCATTTGAGGAGTGAACCAGAAGATGTGAGTGAGCTCACTGCCTTCTATCTCTATCTCTCTTGTGCTGTCTCTTAAATAAATAAGCAAAGATCTTAAGGGATTTGACTAAAAGACTAAACTGTGGCATAGTGGGTAAAGCTACCGCCTGCAATGCCGGCATCCCATATGGGTGCTGGTTCAAGTCATTTCTGATCCAGCTTTCTGCTATGGGCTGGGAAAGCAATAGAAGATGGCCCAAGTCCTTGGGCCCCTGCACCCATGTGGGAGACCTGGAAGAAGCTCCTGGCTCCTGGCTTTGGATTGACTCAGCTCCAGCCATTGGAGCCATCTGGGGAATGAACCAGCAGGTGGAAGACTCTCTCTCTCTCTCTCTCTCTCTGCCTCTGCCTCTGCCTCTTTGTAATTCTCTGCCTTTCAAATAAATCTTTAAAAAAAAAAGACTACTACAACTTAAAAAACTGTATCATAGAGCAGGCTTTTGGCACCTTTAAGGCATGCCTTTGGATGCCTGCATTCTGTATTGGGCAGTATGGGTTCAGAAAGGCCCAGCTCCACTTCTGATTCCAGCTTCTTCCTGACTCCAGCTTGCAGATAGCATACCTCTGGGAGGCTGAAGGTGGTGACTCAAGTACTTGACACCTATCTGGGAGACCCAAATTGAGTTCCTGGCTTCAGCTTGGCCCAGCCCTGGCTGTTGTGGGCATTTGGGGAGTAAACCAATAAATAAAAGATCTCTCATTCTCTGCCTTTTCAGATAGGTAGGTAGGTAGGTAAGTAGATAGGTAGATTTAAAGATGTATAATGAACAAACTTAAAAGATAGGAAAACAAATAAGATATAAATTATTTATATAATTCCTGTATGCACAGCTCATAAACAATAAAAATACTAGAATCCCCTGTGGGATGAATAGATAAGAAATAACCAACTGAATTCACAAGGGAAACACATATGGCTAATATACATAAGCCATGGGAGCAGCAGCATATACAAATTAAAGCAACTGTATTATTTCCAGCTATAAATTGGAGAAATTTTGTTTTGTTTTAAGCTCAGGTTCAGTGCTGGCACGAGTGAAATGAGAAAGGTGTTCATACACTGCCAGTGAGGGTGTAAATTGATCCAAGCATTCTGGAAAGTCTTTGGCACAGTGAATCCGAAGCTTTCAATCCAGCTCTTTAACTTCCAGGAATCTCTCCTAAGGATAATATCAGAAACTGTCCAAAGACATTTATCATGGCATTGTTATAATAGCAGAAAATTATTGTCAACACACTAGTCCACTAATTGGAGAATCGTTAAATAAGTCGTTAACATCCATACAGTCATGCAGATGTTGTAACTGTTTGCCAAGAAATTTTAATGACCCCCACATTAGAATATAACACATCAAACCATTAACCCTTCCTGCCTCTAGGTCACTAAATAATGCATAATGTTTTCTGCTGCTTTATATTTTGATTTACCTTCCAAATTTCCTCAAATGAAAATTTTGTAATTTTTATAATCAAGCATAAAGTACACATACACTCTTAATTTTCTCTGCATCATGCCACAACCTGGGCTTCTGCCTCAACAGCTATATAATTGTGCCAGAAGTGTTAACTGCTGTGTGTACATAGAAACACAGTATTTTGCACGGGACATTTGTTTTAGCACTGAGGAGGCCGTGCCAGAATGCTCTGCAAGGTGCATGGAGGAAGGCCACGGGGGGCCGTGGCTTGATTTGCTGAGTGGTCTGCATAAAGTCATCTCCCTTTAATGCTGTGAAGCTCTGTGCAGTGGGTGGGTTTTCCTCTTTCCTTTTGGAAGAACCCGGGGAAGGTCCATCTCCAACAGTCCTGGCACTCTGACTCTCCTAGTAAGAGGTCTGTACCAGGTGGCTGTCTGGTGAGACCCAGTAGGAATTATTTTTCTAGTTTATTTTCTCACCGGGCCTTCTGTCTTGTACTCTCAGCAGTACTTCTGCCTGTGGTTTTCTACTTCTGCTTTGTTTGACCCACGTTCCCTCCTCTCTACCCTAAAGCTTTCCAAACAGCTTAGCTTCTGAATTGAAATACAAGAGGGTTATGGGATGAGTATGCATAGGCTCCCATAAGGAAGTCCACGTTTTATTATGCTGTATTTTTTTTTTTTTTTTGACAGGCAGAGTGGACAGTGAGAGAGAGAGACAGAGAGAAAGGTCTTCCTTTTGCCGTTGGTTCACCCTCCAATGGCCGCCGCGGCCAGCGCGCTGCGGCCGGCGCACCGCGCTGATCCGATGGCAGGAGCCAGGAGCCAGGTGCTTTTCCTGGTCTCCCATGGGGTGCAGGGCCCAAGCACCTGGGCCATCCTCCACTGCACTCCCTGGCCACAGCAGAGAGCTGGCCTGGAAGAGGGGCAACCGGGACAGAATCCGGCGCCCCAACCGGGACTAGAACCCGGTGTGCCGGCACCGCTAGGCGGAGGATTAGCCTAGTGAGCCGCGGCGCCGGCCCTATTATGCTGTATTTTTAAAGTAAGCGTACACTTTCCAGTAGGGCATTAAGCTCTTAACAAAGTGAAATTGCTCTATTTTGTTCATTGGTTTTTTTTAAACAAATTTGTCCTATTATTTCCTAAACCTCCTTAGACATGCTTTGACACCTGGACATCTTATTAACTAGTACAGTTAACATCAGTTCTTACCAGTTGTGTAGGACTTGGAAAATATCTCACTAGGACAAGCTTCAGTGTGTGTGAATTTACGTCTGTGTGTTGGAGCTGCCCAGGGGCCTTTCGGCCGTGCACTAATGGCAAGCACGTACGCGCGTTGCCTTTCCGCAGGAGTCCACCTTTACTACGTCGGAGGGGAGGTGTACGCCGAGTGCCTCAGTGACAGCAGCATCTTTGTGCAGAGTCGGAACTGCAACTACCATCACGGATTTCACCCCACCACTGTGTGCAAGATCCCTAGCGGGTGCAGCTTGAAAATTTTTAATAACCAAGAATTTGCTCAGCTGTTGGCACAGTCTGTGAACCATGGCTTCGAGACGGTCTACGAGCTGACGAAAATGTGTACCATACGCATGAGCTTCGTCAAGGTAAGTGAGCTTTGATTCCTCTAGGGAGGTTTGACACGTTCTTGCTGCACTGTCTCTCTGTATATACATCTGTATTCTCCAGACATACTCGGACTTCCACATTAGCTGACCTATTCTCTAGGCATTTTAAACCTTTGTGAGGATGTCATTTAGGAGAACATAATTGGAACATAGGAGTGCTTGGGTTAACCATCAATAGCAGTAGGCTTTATGACCCTTTCTTAATTCAAGTAACACTATTTTAGCTTGTAGCACCATTAGAGTATACTGTATATTTAACCTATAATTTAAACATGTGATAATCCCGTTGCTTTTGCTTCACTGATAAGTAATCTTCCATTAAAGATGCATCACACTGGAAATTATTTTTGACTGGTCAAGTTTTTTTAGTGGTTCTAGTAAGCCTGGTGATTTTTCTTTTAGGGGCAGATGTTTGACCTAGTGGCCAGCACCCCATAACCAAGTGCTTGGGTTTGGTGCCCGGCTTAGCTCCTACCTGGAAGGCAGTGGTGGTGGTTCAAGTACCTGAGTTCCTGAGACACTTGGGCTCAGTTCCTAGCCCCTGACTTCAGCCCAGCTCAGTCCTAGCATTGTGCGTGTTGGGGAGTGAACTAGCAGGTGAAAGCGCTCTCTGCCTCTCAGATAAATAAATGAACATTTAACAAGCATTCATGTTTAGAGATAAAGTCGAGGTGGGCATTTGGTACAGCAGTTAAGCAGCCACTAGCGACACCAGCCTCCCATATCAGAGGACCTGGCTCAGATCCAGCTGCTCCACTTCTACTCCAGCTTCCTGCTGATACACACCCTGGGAGGCAGCAGTGATGGCACAGGCACTTGGATCCCTGCCACCCACATGGGAGAACTGGGATTCTGGGCCCTGGCTTTCCCCTGGCACAGCCCTGCTGTTGACGACATGTGGAGAGAAAACCAGTGAATGGGAGATCTCTTTCCATTTCTCTCTCTCTCTCTCTTGCTCTCTCCCCCCAACCCCCTTGACCAAAGGTAAATTGATGCCTTGGCTTTAAGATTGTATTCTAAATTTTGAAGGAGGAGAAAGTTAAAGACATTACTTATAATAATTCATCTTTTTGCTGCTTCATTTTCTACCTCAGAGAAGTAAAATGTTCTAAGATGCCATTGAAATGTAAAATAAAATTGAGACATGGTTGGATGCATGAGTCGGTGACTTCCTCTAGTAGCTGACTTTCTTGTCTCTGAATTCCCAAATATAAATTTTCATCCTGTGTTACTTAGAGAAACAAAACTAATTATATATGTGGGCGAGGCAGTCACCTTTTATGTCTTGTCTTCAGAAGCTTGCCTAACTTGTTGGGAAACCTGTTTTGTGCTGTATCTGTTGCGGAGGGTAATCTGGGAGTCTTACCCTGTCAGTCACCCTTCAGCTCAGCACGTCTCTTCCTGGACATCATCCTTTGTTCCCATTTGGATCCTTTCAGCAGATTCACAGCGCCTTCTCCACGTGTGCGTCGTCTTGATCTAGAACTCGGCAGCCCTTTGAAGCTGAGTCTGGCACCCTCTGTTGTGCCTGGAGGTGCTGCGCTCCTGAAGGGGCTTGAGCTGTGCGCCGCGCAGCTCCGGGATGGCAGAGCCTTTCTCACCCATTGTTCACATTCACGCTCCACGTGTTCACTTAGCATTTGGGCTCAAATGATTTTTTTTTTTTTTTAAATAAGCACAGCGACTTGCAGAAGTGTTTCTTCCCTTTATTCTTGTAGGAGGGAGAGCCGAAACATGCAGGTTCCAGTCCTATCTGCCATCTCACTGTGGGCTTGAGGGGCTCTCCCCTGGGCCGCTTCTTCACCCTTAGAATGGGGCAGACAGAGCTGGGGACTGTGGGAATTACCGCAAGGTGCCCGGGTGGTTCTGTCACGAATGTCAACAAATACTGTAGCCCTAGCCTAGAAAAGTAATACAAGGGTGAAAAAGCACCTGAAGTCTCTAGCTTCAAGCTGCATATGGCATAGTATATACTGAGTTACGATATGACCTGGTAAGCACCAGTGTGCAGGGTTACACAGGCTATCCGGCCCTGGCTGAGATACTGGGTGTAGAGGTGAGGATGAACAGATCTTATTAAAGATACTGCTAGCACCATCAAGGGCAGCTGCTTGTCATACAGTAAGCAACAGGAAGGGTGCACACGGTTTTTAGAACTTTGTGCTTTCTTATCACGAGAACTGCGTACTTTATTCCTCCCAACTCAGCATCTTAGAGGCAAGACCTAGAATACTAATATTAATAATCAGTCTGTTTTCACAATGACCATTCGGGGACATCATTATAAAACATAGATTTGATAAATTATTCACAGCTTAAACACGTTCATATCTGAAAATGCCGAGTCAGTTCCGCTGAGTAGGTATTTATAGGGCTTTTGCTTCATGCCAGTCAGTGTGCCAGATACCGGAAGTCAGAGAACTTAGCATCTCATGGAGGAACATGCACACAGACAAGCCCACTAAGTACATGTGTGAGTCTGCTGATACATGTACAGATGCCTGGCTTTGCATATACAGCTGGAGTTCACATGCCACAGTTCTAATATCCAGGTGTGTTTCTTGAACCTGCTGGAGTGGGTAGGTTAGCAGAGATCAATAAAACCCAGCCTTCTCTGATACCCCTCATGAAACAGGGGTTGACCAGGCGCTCATATTCCACTATCCGTTTACACCAGTGAATTTTTTATGTTTGTAGTAGCAAATTTACTTTTCCCTTTTTTTGAAGTGACTCTTAGAGGACCTCAGTGTTCTAATTCAGTAACCAGGAAGCTGTCCAGCAGGCTCGCCTCTTGCACAAATGAATAATAGAATGTGTGGATTCAGAGCAATGGCTGGGAGTCAGTCAAAGCTTTGGGATACTCAGAGGTGTTCCTTTCGGTTTTGCTGGGAGACTGAAAGACCACATGCTTTGCGTTGGCAGGAGGACCTTCAGAGGGTAAACGCAGAAGAAGCAGATGTGAATCTAACGTAGCTCTTTCCTTATTTTCTTGATAAAATGAGAATGTACTAGTAGCGGTTGCATTACTAGAAATGTGATGGGCAGTGAAAATGAAAGCTAAACATTGCCGTCGTTAAAACAACTTTCAGGGGCCAGTGCTATGGCACAGTGGCTTAATCCTCTGCCCGCGGCTCTGGCATCCCACATGAGCACTGCTTAGAGTCCCGGCTGCTCCACTTTCAATCCAACTCCCTGTTGATGACCTGGGAAAGTGGTAGAAGGTAGCCTGGGTGATTGGGCCCCTCCACCCACATGGGAGACCTAGAAGAAGCCCCTGGCTCCTGGATTCTAATCGGCCCAGCTCTGGCTGCTGTGGCCATTTGGGGAGTGAACCAGCGCATGGAAGACCTTTCTCTCTGTCTCTATCTCTGTGGCTCTGCCTCTTAAATAAATGGATAGATCTTTAAAACGGAAACAAAACAACTTTGAAACACATTGAAAAACTTTCTGTGCTTCTTACTGGATGGACTTCAAGGAGATGAAGCCCATTCCCTGCAGTTGCCCACCACATTACACGTGTGCGTGTGCGTGTGCGTGCTGTTCTCGCAGAAAAGGCTTATAGCCCCACATCCAGTCACTGAGTAAGTTGCAACCACGGAGTTAAACAAGCTGAATGACTTCTGGTGTGTTTTTCTCCAGGGCTGGGGAGCAGAATACCATCGCCAGGATGTTACCAGCACCCCCTGCTGGATTGAGATACACCTGCACGGCCCCCTCCAGTGGCTGGATAAAGTCCTGACTCAGATGGGCCCACCTCACAACCCCATCTCATCCGTGTCTTAAACGGCCTCAGGCGCCTGCCCCTTGAAAACTGTTGAGCCTTGCATGTACTTGAAGGATGGATGAGTCAGACACATCTGAGAGCTGACAAAGGAGCCTTGATCATACTTGACCTCTGTGACCAACCGTCGGGTTCAGCAATGTAAAAACCTTGGTAACATGCTGTTGATATGGAGAACCTGTTTAGTTTACATTGTAACATTCTGTTGTAAAATCAACTAAAATGCAGACTCTTAGCAGGAATTCGTGTATGTATAGTTACAGGCAAGATGGCCACGCCAGGGACAAATTATCTACTACAAGAACAGGCCTAAGAGATTGTTTTGTGTTTGGCACTTTAAGGTCATCGTTTGGCAGAAGGTTAGCATTAATAGTCATTCTGAAGTGTGTTTTTATCAGGTTTTAGAGCCCGTGGGGAGTCGTCTTCTCATGGGTTTTCGTAATATTTTAAAGCTATTTGTTTAGTAATGGTTTTTTTTGTTTGTTTTTTAAAGTAAAGGTTAATCTTGATGATATACATAGTAATCTTTTCTAAAATCGTATGCTGGCCATCCTGCTGTCAGAATAATGTTAGGCATATGCTCTTTGCTAAATATGTATGTACAGAGTATTTGGAAGCTAAGAATTGATTAGACTAGTGAACTTGGGAGCATTTGCGGGCTGGGGGGAAGGGAAAGGACAGCTGCAAGTGTAGAGTGTCCTGTCAACATTCAGGTTGTTGTTTTGAAGAAACAAACTGATGTCTGAATTTTGCTGTGTTTCAGTTTTTAAAGATTTTATCCAACTCTTTTTTTTTTTTTTTTTTTGGCATTCTTCTATCCTCTCCGAAAAAGCAGTTATGCAGCTGGTTAATTCATATAACTGTGAGAGCAAATGAATGATTCCTGCCATTCTGAAATCAACTGCCTATGTGTTTCAATACCAGTTGTCTGGAGTGCTTGAATTTAATAAGTGGTTTTTATGGAGTTTACAGTACAGAAATAGGCTTTAATTTTCAAGTGAATTGTTTGCCAAACCTAGTAACTCTGAATATTTGGAGAATTAAAAAAAAAGACCCTTTCAAACTTTCTTAATTTTTTTGTACTATGTTTGGTTTTATTTTTCTTCTGTTAATCTTTTATACTCACTTATGCTCTCTTACATTGAATACTTTTATTCCAAAACTAGTGGGTTTTCTCTACTGGAAATTTTAAATAAACCTATCATTATTGCTTACTTTGATTAAAAATTTGTCATTTTCTTTCTTCACATACTAGATTTTAGGATCAGTATGATGTGCTACTCTGGTTGGAGTTTCTTCTCCAACATTCTCTGCCAAAGCTAAATTACTAATGCAGACAGAGAGATTGAATCCTGAAGAGGGAAACGGAAAAAGGATATCAGATCTTGAAAAATTTAAGGAAAAAATCAGCAAAATCTAAATGTGTCAGTGTGTTGACGTGAGGCATCGCAGCAGCAGCAGCTGTTGGCGGGAACCTGGTCACCCAGAAGTGCCGCATTGTACCTGCAGAGGAGGGTGCACAGGCGACGGCTGGAGCCTGTGGCAGAGGAGGAGGGCTGGGCCCTGAAAGCGCAGAAGTGAGTCCTGTGGCAGCCTACTTGGCACTGGAATGATTCCCCAGCACCACCCTCCCCCACCCCCCCAAAAAAAGCAACACGAGAAAGCAAGTTTACCCATGAAGGACACAGATGTAAGAACGCCATTCTTTCTTGGCCAGGTAGATGCCATTCTTGCTTCTTTTCATTTCTGTATCTCTTTGCTGGAGTGTTTACCAGCCCGGGAGTTTAGGGCTTCCCCATGCCCCTTTAAAGAGCCCATTTAAGAATGATGTCATCTTTTCCCCAAAAAACCTAACACTTATTCCCCAACAGTGACTAAGCAAAAATGTCTGCTGTCAGTCATCTCCAAAAACATCCTCATGCGAGCGGAGAAAACCTTGGCCAGCGACGCGGTCCAGCACGAATGCACGCACGTCTCTGCTGGCTCCCTGAAGTTCCGTGAGCCTGTGTTCGCGTCCCGTGTTTCTTCCATGGAGATAATGGAGTTGTGTCCTTATCACAAAGTTGGGGGGAGGATCACTGAAATGACAATACGCGAAATACGTTAGGGATGTAGCTCCCAAGCAAGTTAGGGGTCATTGTTGTCTTGAACCCTCTCCCATACACACTGCATTTCCACTAGCTACGTCATTCAGGCACAGGGCAGCAGAATCAATTCTGGTGGTTGGTGAGATATAAACAAAGAAGATACTCAAACTATTGGACTTAATGAAATATCACTGAGAATAATCTAAAAATAAAGACCTTGGTCAGGGTTTCTTTCCCTTTTCCTAGTGGAACGTGACTTCTTGCTTCCCTTGAGTTTCTTTGGTTGCCTGCTGGACCTGTTATGCAAGCTGCTGATGCAGTGAAGCAGCGCTGGGAGCCAGCTTGAAGTTCTATCAGATGAGATGCCAAGATCATACAGTACGTTGAAACCTACTGGGTGGGGACCCCCAGAGTTCACAGCATGGTGCATAATTAGACCCTTCCTGCTTAAGTATGGTTATTTGTATTTTTAGTAAAATCTTAGTGAAAACCACAGTTATTAGCTATTAAAAACACTGGTGGGTCTATTGGGAATTTTTAATTAAACGAATGGAAAAGTCAAAGCAGCTATCTGTTCTCATTACTAGAAAAAAAAGTAAGTTGTTCATCCAAGGAACAACAAGGAAAAACAACGTGAACTGTTTGAGAGCAGGTATATGTGATGCTACTAAGAAACCAGTAGTGGGCTCATTAGGATGGTGGCTGAGGAGCTATGGCCTCATGCCATCATTTAATAGGACTTGGCCTCCCGCGCAGGTCTTTGTTTTTCTGCACCTGTTTCCTCTTCTGTGAAATGGAGACAACAACGCCCTCCTCGTGGGGTCATCGTGAAGACAGTCAGTACATGCAAAGCCCTTTAAGAACCTCTTAGATTGCTTCTACTGACTGCATTTGGCTGGGAAGACAGCCTGATAGGAGTTTGAGTCAACAGACAGAAGAATTGGATGAAGACCTACCTGCCTTTAAAGTATTTCATAAATGGTCAAAGAGCTTCTAGGCTAGAGAATGCAATCGTAAGGAAGAAAACTAGCCATTTGTGGGGCCTGGCCCCCTATGTGCCAGACACTGTGCCAGGTTTCCACACATTGCCTTTTTTTTTTTTTTTAATTTGAAAGAATAGACAGATGGAGTAAGGTATTCCATCCACTGATTCACTTGCCAAATACCCACAACAGCCAAGCCTGGAGCTCTGAACTCAACCCAGGTGTCCCATGTGGGTGGCAGGGGCCCAAGTACTTGAGCCAATATCCACTGCCTCCCAGGCTATACTTCAGCAGGAGGCTGGATCAGAAGCAAAGGAGCCACGACTCAAGCTGGGCACTCCACTGTGGAGCGTGGGCACCCGAAACATATGCCTACCCCGTGCCAACTGCCCCCATATCGCTTCTTTTTCCGTGCTAAGAACTTAGGCTACTCTGTCCTCAATTCCTTACACTGGTTTTCTTATAGATGAATCAGCTGGTTCAGGTGCTAAGTAACTTGTCCGAAGTAACCTACCTAACCTAGTTAGCAAAGAATCCTAATTTCAGTTCTGATCTCACTTTGAAATCTAGTTAGTTCCATTGAATCCTTTCTCTTGTTAGTTTCCAGACATAGGAACTTTACAAACTAACACAGAATGAAGAACACCAAGGAAAGAAAAGGTAGTAAGAACTTGATTAGGTAGAGACAAGTAAGATTTTACAGAGAAAGGGACATTTAGGGTTGAGCCTTGAAGGATGGGAAGCATTTTAGTAAGTGGAGAAACTTGGGGTGAAAGCCCAGGCGACCTGTTTGGTTTGCCTTGGCGTCTGTCCCCCAGGTTTCTGTGGGATTTCATAATATGTAACAGCATGTCTCTTCTGACTGCTGTTGTGTGGTCCAAGCAGGAGCCCGCTGTCTGGGAAGTCTGGGGCTAGAAATATGGAAGAAAGTTTCACCTGCCTGGCTGATGATACAGTAAACCTTGGCAATTGTCCCCTGCCATCCCCTCTGCTGTATGGACTACAGACAGGGTTCTCAAGGGCCCGGGGCTTCTGGGTCTAGGGTTGGCTAAGCTCTATCATGTTCCTGTTCTTTGCTACTCTTTGTCAGACACACCAGAATCTTTACAGGCAGTCCCCTCTTTGTGTGTGTTACCTGTATGTGTTTAGGTAATATGGAAAACATGACTTTAAAAAAAATAAAAGGGTTTTGAAGATTTATTTATTTACTTGAAAGGTAAAGTTACAGAGGGAGAGAAACATCTTCCATCTACTGGTTCACTCACCAAGTGGCTAAAACAACCGACCGGGGCTGAGCCAGCCAAAGCCAGGAGCTTCTTCTGGGTTTCCCACATGTGTGTAGGAGCCCAAGGACTTGGGCCATCTTCCACTGCTTTCCCAGGCCATAGCAGAGACTGTCAGAAGTGAAGCAGCCAGGACTCAAATTGGCACCTATATGAAATGCTGGCACTGCAGGCCAAGGCTTAACCCACTCTGCCACAGTGCCGGCCCCAAGGTAGGTCTTTTTAAAATAGCATTTCCTTTAGTTGAAGCAATACTTGTTCACTATAGATTTGTAAAGTACCAGATAAACTAAGTACCTGTACTAACCTCTGCTGATTAAGTTGTCTTTTTGAACTAAGGGATTAGAACATCCTGGCGCAGACTGCACAAGCCGTAGATGACACAGGTCTGGAGGTTACCGTGTCCATCTCCCCCAGCGTAGAGAGGATGGCTCGTACCTTCTGCGTTTCTGGGCACCAGTCCTGTGCCAGGCATGGTGGTCAGTGATAAACTCGGCCTGCCCGTTACGGGAGAGGCAGACAAGCAGTGATGCCAGCGAGGGGCACAGAGGGGTACACAGCCGCACCACGGGGGGGCAGGAGAAGCCTTCTCAGGGCAGTGCCTCAGATGGAAGTCTTGTTTCGCCAACCAGGTGTTAACCTGCAAGGGGGGGGGGGGTACCAGGCAGAAAATACAGAGGCATGAGTGCGAGAACCAGGTCCACTTGGGATCACCAAGAATTCAGTGTAGGTGGACTAGCTGGAATATACGGGCAGTAGCTGTCAGTGGAGCCTTTAGCCCACGTGCTACGTAAGAGAAGGGAGGGGTGGGAAGGGAGCAGTCGTTAAGGATCGTGTGTATGTCCTGATACAGAGTGGGGTAATCCCCCTAGCATCTTAGCTCTTACATGGTGGACGGCGGAGGTCACTCAAGGGTCACACACAGCAGAGCCCAGGAGAGAAACTGACTGTGGAGGAAGCAGAAACGGAACAGGAAGGAGCTAACCCAGCCTGAGGAGTCACAGAGGTCAAGGGAAGGGTTTCAGCGAGGAAGCTTGTCACCGTGGCCAGTACGGGACAGAGAAGAGCTTCAGAAAGGGTTTATTTAAGCTGAGCAATTCGGAAGTCTGATGACTGCAAGAGTGTTCCGGGGTGGTGCAAGAAGCCAAATTATTAAGCGTTCAGAATTCTATGGGGTGCACGTCAGTGGAGCAAAGAGTATTTTTATCCCCGACGTTTACTGGTGAGGAGGACAGAGAAAAGAGATGGTGGCTGGAGACACGAACAGATGCAAGGAACCCCTGTGTCAGAAGCAGGAGCTGTGTGCGTGCATCGCTGGCGGGAGAGGCTGACGAAGAACGCAGAGGTTGGAGCAGTTGGAGCGCCCTTATAGGATGCTGACGCCACAGGCAGCGGCTTAAACCACCACACCACAGCGCCGGTTCCCGGAGTGGTTTTTTAAGGCTGTGGTCCCCAAAGAGCGTGCTGTAACGAAGCCTCCGACCTGCGGTTTCCAAGCTCCGGGACACAAACATTTTGTGCACAGATCCGGAAGCTCAGCCTCAGCAACTGCGAGATCATAATCAGTTCAAGGCTGAAGCCGACACAGTGATGGAGAGGCGGCGCCTCCTGCACGGCAGAGTTTGGGAGCGACTCCTCTAGGGACCACTTCGCGAAGAGCTGATGATTTGGAGATTCCTCTCTTGATCCAAAAAACGGTGAGTCAAACAACACAGCTTTATCCCTCAACATAGCCTACGTTTAAAGAGGGAAAAAGAAGATGTTGAGGAGCTCCTTGTTACTCTCTGGGGCTGCACACTTGTGAGGACAGGAGAGAGGACATTGTCTTCTTCTCGTGGCCTTCACCCATGGACACTGGAGCGCAGCCGCAGCCATCTAGACCTTATTTTCATCCCATGGACAGACTGAGTGACAGGCTGATTTTTAGATATTTACGAGAGAGAGAGAGAAAGCACTGCCAGCCACTGGTTCACTCCCCCACACACCTGCAGTGGCTCCGACTGAAGCTGGGAGCCAGGTCTCGCGCATGAGTGGCAGGAACCCGACTACTTGAGCCATCACGGCTGCCTCCCAGGGTCTGCGTTACAGGCAGTTGGCGGCAGGGGGCAGAAGTGAGAATGGAACCCAGGCTCTCCAGTGTGGAATACAGGAGTCTTAGCAGCAGGGCTAACCACTGGCCCTGGATGTAGAACTATGCTGCGGAGGTGATGGGTAGCAGCGGGCACTTGGTTTAGGCAGACCTGTGTTTCAATGCCAGCTCCATCCCTTTCTAGCCGTGTCCTCTCAGGCAAGTGAATTAATGTTTTACCCTCACGGAGACATAATCGCCACCCTCTCATTGGTGGCTGTGCTGCTGTAGCGATGTACTGCATATTAAAACCTCGGCCCAGAGCCCTACACTAAGTGCTTTATAATGGTGGAAAGTGGTTTGCAGTGGTGACGCCAACCTACAGGGCTTCATAAAAACAGGCGTGCGAACACCAGCAGGTGGAGGTGGCGGGCCTTTGCCCTATCCTGGGGATGTAGTAGATGGTTTGCAATCCAGAATCCCCACAACAATAATAAACATAGTGGTAAAGAAAAGCAAGGGAAAAAAAAAAAAAAAAAAAAAAAAAAAAAAAGCTGTGCTTCGCCGAGCAGCATAGGGAGTGTTCATAAAACAGAGCTGTCAGTTTCCCTGGCGCGCTTTGCAAGGGTCCCAGCCAAGGGCTCTGGACCGAAGCAGACGGTGGGACTCCGCTGAAAGTTTGTGCGGTGTGCTAAGTGATGGCGCCTTCAGCCTGCTCGCCCACAATGATTTACATTTGCACGACTCTCCCCACCCCCACGCTATAGACTAGCTGCTTGTTGGGACATCTCTTACCCTCCCGGCTCCCGACATTGAGATGTCTTTATTCCTGATTTGATCCGGTTGTTCCACTTCTTGAGGGGATGCCACACCTGAGCTCAGACCTGTGACGCCGAGACTCCCACCATCGGCCTGCGAACGCGGGGGACCCCCAAGGACACCGGCCTCTCCTCCGCCTCATGCTCCCCTGTGCTCCAGGCCACCTGCGGGGCGGCTATGCCAGTAATCCTGCCGTCCACCAGGAATTTGCCGCCAGGGCACGCTTTCGCCACAGCACTGGCCCTTCCCATCTGTGGAGTTCCAATCCCGAATTCTTGTTTATCCCTTTGTAGGCAAGGATTATTTCAGGAGGGGTAATTTTACCTCCTCGGGGCAGGACACTGAGGTCGCTATTCTACTTCTGGAAGTGTAAGCTTCATAACTGGGTGAACTGGCAGCCACTCTGCCCTGGGCGTCTGCCTAAATACACAGCAGATTCTACCGTTACCAGTCACCATGTATTAATAACTCACTTGTATCTAGTAAAACCCATTAACTCATGGCCCTACCAGTCTTCCTCCCTCAGCCCCACACTCCCCTAAATATATTTAGAAACTTAAATTAGCAGAGGTCCTTTGGAGAGGGGGGAGACGGGAGAAGGCAAGTTAACGTTCACAGGATGTGTAATTCTCCTTCAGCATGAGGCATTAAACCTAACACCACTCAGATATGTCTTTGAAGCCAATCCTTCTGTGACAGTGCAACCCTTCACACTTTGAACCAGCGAGACTGCCCTCCCAATGAGCTGTGACACTGGTTGATCTATCTTTAAGGTGGGCGCGGCAGTTCTATAATTATCCCAGCCTGCCGCTTCCACGCCCCGGGAGACAGGGAGGAGAAGGAGGTAAGGGAGAGAGAAAAGGTTTTGTGTCAGAGACCCGTGACCCCCTGTCCCCATCTCTGGGTGATTTCTGGACAGTTCCCCGGATCTTCTGAGGCAAACTTTTCTCTGCAAAATGAGACGCATTCTCTTGCAAGATGTTGAAAGATGAGCAGCCACAATGAAGCGTTTATCACACCCGTGCCCTGGTTCAGGGCCTCATTAAAGTGGTTGCTGTGACTATGCTTGGTGAAGCTAGCAGCGTGATGTATTTTTTATTAATGCATGCCCACAGCAGTGCCCCCTTAGACACATTTTCACTTCCTCTGGTTTAAGTTACCCGAGGTCACCGTCAAAGAATTCCCAAGTTTGCAACTGTATGCCTTCTGAGTGTTGCGGTGATAACCTCGTGCAGTCCTGAGCCATCTTGCCTGAGATCCCTTTGCCCAATGAGTACCTGCTGTATGCGCTACCTTCCAGCTGGTCGCTCAGTAACTGTCTGAGTTACCAGATCAGCCATGGCAGTACCACGGTGCCAGTGTTGGGGCAGCCTTTATCCTATTCAGTAAAGGCTTTAGTACAAGAGTCGTGATGCAGAGGAGGCACCTGGGCAGAAAAGGTGCCAGGACGCATTACCCCTGGCACTTGGTGAGCACACTGCAGGGCATGTAGAAATCCACCTGCAGGGATAGGGTTGGGGGCCATTGGCTCTCTTGGATCACACCCGCCGTGGAGAAGAGGGGAACTCTACTGTGTTTGGAAATTCACCATAACCGCTGTCATACTGAAAAACACCGATGCTGCACAGTGTGGGAGTTGTACCTCAAACAAGCTGCTCAAGTTTTGTTGTTGTTGTTGTTGTTGTTTTTAATTTGCAAAATGGAACTTCTCAACTTCCCTTTGAAAATGTGAGGGTGATTTTTAAACTGAGAAATCTCAATGCCTATGCTGTTAGGTGACCAATAGATATTGATTAATTGACTCCACCTGTAGGTTTTCATGAGCGCATGAGTCCAAGAACTCTCTTATGTAGCCTGCCCTTCTTCCAAACATTAATTACTACTTTTGTATTATAAGGCTGTTATGATATCCATCCTCCATGCTTTGGGAATTAATTTTAAATTCATGAAGTACATCCTCATGCTTTGATAAATGAGTATAATTAGTTCTCAAACTTTTGTCCATAAGCCAAAACTGGTATCATCAATCATTAAATATTCCCATTAAAATTAATGTAAAAACTTCAATGTTTCTCATAATGGAATAATTAATAGAGTCGAGGGCCTCATTTAATAGTGTGAAAGGTCCCCCAGGCTCTGTCCTGACTGGCCCTCCCTCTTCCATCCATCGCCTCTCCCAAGGTGACCCTCAGTCTCCAAATCCATGGCTCTTAGAGGCCATCTCTGCTCTGTTGGCTCTCAGCTGTGTCCCCAGGCAGGCATCTCATGGGAACCCGTGCACCTAACTTGACATCTGCACACGGGTGTCATCTCCAACTTAGCACAGTCACACCTGCCCTCCCCCACCCACCTGTCAGCTTCTCCCCTCCTCCGTCACCCAGCTGCTGAAGCCAAAACCTTTTCTCACCCCACAACAATGCCATCAATAAACCCTATTACCTTTGCCCTCAGGATAGTCTTAATTTATCCTCTTGTTCTCATCTCTGCTCCTTCCATCCTAGCCAAACACACCATCATCTCTTGCCTAGACTACTAACTACAAGAGCTTTCTGGCAGATTCCCGGCCACCATTCTTGTCCCTACCACATGGCACCCAGACAATCTTTGAAATTCTAATCAACTTATGTTACCTCCCAGAATAAAATCAAAACTCCGTCCTATGGCCATGAAGCCCTGCCTCAGTGGTTCTTCCTACCGAGTGCTCGGAACCTTATGGAAGCATTGCTTACCGATCCAATGATTGGGAAGTGGGGCTGCTACTGGCATCGAGAAGTTGCGAACGCTAGATGGGAGGTGGTTCTGTGTATCGGTCATTATCCGAGCATGGACCCTTGCTTGATATTGTATGCTAAACATAAAATATGTACGTGGAATTTTCCACGAACACAACTACAGTGTCAGTGTAGATAGGACAGACTTTGGTCTCCGATTTTGCCTAGAAATGCTCACCATTTCAGAAAATCACCTTGCCCTTGGAGAAGCCACTGCTGGAGCTGAGGCGCAATTGTGCCACACCTTGACAGGCTCCATGACTCCGCCTTAAAGAACAACCATCCAGCTAAGCTCCTACCTTCTAGGAGAGTCGTGCCTGAGCATTTACACATGGACACACAGACTGCTTTGTCATCAACTGCTTCCTAAAGCT